CTGTATCCCAATCACCTTGGGCACATGTTCCCAGGACCTCCTGAGGGCTGTGTCAGAGGTCATGGCCACTCATATTTGGCTCAGAATAAATCTCTTAAAATATTTTACAGAGTTTGACTCTTTTTGGCAACAACAATATGGTGCCCAATGTGTGTCTCAGAGAAGACTCAGGACCCCTAAGGAGTTGTCTGAAACCAGAGCTAAGGTACAAGCAGGGGCCCACTGAAGCCCCACTGAGTTTGAGCTGCTCCTCTGGTGAAACTGGTAAGTTCTCCTGAGCCCCAGACCTCCCTTTGGTTGATGGTCCTTGATTTATTCTGAGCTGGTTTTCTCCTAGGAAGTTGTTGTTTAAATATCCTAATTGTAGTTGGAGATGCATTCTGAAGGGAATTCTCTATTGCTTTTTCTCTGAAAATTTATCTTGATTTGGTTTGTTTGTGTGCATTTGTGTAAGGAACTGAATTGTTGTTTTCATAGATATGAGAGACTGAGGTTTTCAGCTTTGAAGGGAATGGGCATTTGCTCCTCTCAGCCAAAATATGCCCCTGGGTGACTGAGGGCCTTGTGGGAGTGTCTAGGGAGTTGACCCTCCGAAATATACAGTGGCCCTACAGGGAAATCCTCAACAAAAATTAATTTCAAAAAATGGCTCATTCAGGAAGTGCATATAAGGGCTGATCACCCAGTGTTTTGAGCCCTCTCAGATATCATAGACTTCTGCAGAGAAAAACTAAGAAACATAAGAGGGCAGAAACGACTTAGTGGTGACACACTGTCGAGTTGTGCCCACAAGCAGCATGCATCGATCCACCACACAAGAACCCTAGGCTATAGCTCAGTTCCTCTTAAAAAAAAAAAAAAAAAGCAGGAAACAAATCTAAGACTAAGGAGAAAATGAGGAGACTGTCTCCTTTTCAGGCAGTCTGTAGGTTTTATGGCACATCTACTTGCCAGAGTTGATATAAAATGGAAACCAGCCTGACCAACGTAGTAAAACCTTGTCTTTATCAAAAAAATACAAAAATTTGGCTGGGTGTGGTGGCTGAAGCCTGTAATCCCAGCACTTTGGGAGGCTGAGGCGGGTGGGTCACGAGATCAAGAGATTGAGATCATCCTGGCCAACATGGTGAAACCCTGTTTCTACTAAAAATACAAAAACTAGCTGGGCGTGGTGGCGTGCACCTGTAGTCCCAGCTACTTGGTGGGCTGAGGCAGGAGAATTGCCTGAACCTGGGAGGCAGCGGTTGCAGTGAGCCGAGATTGTGCCACTGCACTTCAGCCTGGTGCCTGGCGACACAGTGAGACGGTCTCAAAAATATATATATACAAAAATTAGCCAGGTGTGGTGGTGCATGCCTGTAATCCCAGCTACTTGGGAGGCTGAGGCAGGAGAATTGCTTGAACCTGGGAGGCAGAGGTTGTAGTGAGCCGAGATCGCACCATTGCACTATAGTCTGGGCAATAAGAGCAAAACTCTGTCTCAAAAAAAAAAAAAAAAAAAAGATTGTGGGCTGGGTGCAGTGGCTTATGCCTGTAATCCCAGCACTTTGGGAGGCTGAGGTAGGTGGATCACCTGGGGTCAAGAGATGGAGACCATCCTGGCTAACATGGTGAGACTCCGTCTCTACTAAAATACAAAAAATTAACCAGGTGTGGTGGTGTGTGCTTGTAGTCCCAGCTACTCAGGAGGTTGAGGCAGGGGAATCGCTTGAACCTGGGAGGCGGAGGTTGTGGTGAGCTGAGATTGCGCTACTGCACTGCAGTCTGGCAACAGAGCAAGACTCTGTCTCAAAAAATAAGAATAATTAAGTAAAATTCATCTTTCCACAACTTTTATTCCCAATTCTAACCCACCTAGTTTCAGTCATGAAAATCCTTCCTAATTTTTGCCTCAGGTATATTTACAAAAGTCTGTCATACTCCCTTCACCCCCATGTTACATGTTGTTTTTGAGATGGAGTTTTGCTCTTTTGTTGCCCAGGCTGGAGTGCGGTGGTGTGATCTCAGCTACTGCAACCTCCACCTCCCAGGTTCAAGCAGTTCTCCTGTCTCAGCCTCCTAAGTAGCTGGGATTATAGACATCTACCACCATGCCTGGCTAATTTTTATCTTTTTAGTAGAGACAGGGTTTTATCACAGTTGCTTTGTCTGACATGAATTGGCTCCCAGTATTGTAAACAGAAGAGTATGGAAGGCCTTGGACTGTCTAATCAGTAGTCTTCCCCCACCCTATGCTTTCTCTCAAATGGTCTGTGTGATTCTTCACTGCAGTCATTAGTTTTTGAAATTATCTTGTTTATGTTGTCAACTGAAGAATGGTAAAGCTCATACATTTGGAAAGGAGAGCTTTATTTTTCATAAAAGGTTGCAGCCTGCAGGGCATCCTGGTAGGCAGGGAAGCATAGCCTCCACTCAGAAGCCAGAAGGCAAAAAACAGACTCTTGGAGTGAGGGATAAAGGAAACAGGGACTTACGCTAAGCAGGGTGTCCAAATACACATATTTAATAAGCGATACACAGAGTCACGAATATTTATGAGAGCATGTTATGCTCAGTTGAGCTTCATGTCCATCCATAAGACCCGTGTTCAAAAGTGGTGCTGTTAGCGTGATCTGAGGGTAGAGTTTTCAGCCCTCTCCTGTCAAAAGGTGAAGCAGAGGACACAAAAACCCTCTCTGTATTCTCCTTAGCCTGGCTAGGTCTGCTGCATGGTCACTGGTCTCTTATCAGGAAGCAATGCTGGTTGGTTGGTTTGTCCTAACTGCAAAAGGGGAGGCAGTCTCAGGCCGTTGGTTGATGTCAGGTGGAGCAAGTCTTTTCAAAGGGCTAGTTTCTGTCTAGCCCTTCAGGAAGAAAGCCTGATGGTGGTAAGTGAAGGTGGGGGTATAAAGAGGTGTGTCTGACCTCGCACCCTGTCATGGCTGAGAACTCAGTTTTCAAGGGTTCTCTGGGGTCCCCTTGGCCAAGAGGGAGTCTGTTGGGTCACTTGAGTGCTTAGAATTTAATTACTTCTCAATGTCTTTGTCATGTTTATTGTGTCTCATTTCTTACTTGGTACTTACATTCTAGAGGAGTGGTGTCCAATCTTTTAAGATTGTCTTAGGGCACACATAAAATACACTAACCCCTAACAATAGCTGATAAGCTAAAAAAAGAAATCAAAAATATCTCATAATGTTTTAAGAAAGTTTATGAATTTGTGTTAGACCCCATTCAAAGCCATCCTGGGCTGCATGTGGGCCACAGGCTGGACAAGAAGGTTGTTCTAGAAGGTGAGAAAACTATAAGACAAGAGTACTGAAAAGGGCTTTTGAGAGCTATGAAAGCCCCTTTCAGTTCTCAAATTATATCAAAAGTACATGGGATTATCATGATGAATATTGGGTAGGGAGGAATGATGAAGTAAAATTAAACACATTGGGCACTGTGGCTGACGCCTGTAATCCCAGCACTTTAGGAGGCTGAGGCGGGCGGATCATCTGAGCTCAGGAGTTCCATACCAGCCTGGTATGGAACACAGGGAGACCCCATCTCTACAAAAAATATAAAAATTAGCCAGGTGCAGTATGTAAGGTTTGAATGAGGCAACTGAGGCCAGTTATTGAAATAAAGAAATTTAATCTGCTCCTGGGCGAGGTTCTATGGTCCAAGGTAAGGGGGTGCCAGAGAAGTCTTGCTGACTTCCTGGGGCATGGAGTTCTTATGGCTATGAGGAATGAGCAACAGCTGGGTGCTCTGATTGGCTCCAGGGGAGCAGGATAGGGATGGGGTGGGCCACTGTTGGTTGGCGGGTTGTGGGGCGGGTTTTCTGGTGCAAGAGCTGGCCAAGGTTGCATCAGCCGGAGCCTTCCAGGGGAGGCATGCGGCAGAGCTAGGTGCCGAGGGCAGAGCATGGTGCTGGGTGCGGAGTCAGGTGCTGAGTGCAGAGGTGGGTGTGCCCGGCCTCCGGGCAAGGCAACCGGCCTTACACAATAGTGTGCACCTGTAGTCCCTGCTACTTGGGAGGCTGAGTCAGGAGAATTTGCTTGAGCCCAGGTGGTGGAGGTTGCAGTGAGCAGAGATCGCACCATGGCACTCTACCCTGGGTGACAGAGCAAGACCCTGTCTCAAAAATAAAAAATTAAACACATGGGATAGCCAGATATTATATTAATGGGCTATTAAGAAAACTTACTGGAAAAGTTTTATTCTACACTAAGTTGATTATAATAATCTTATGATTTTATACCATATCATGCCTTATTCAACTTTTTTTTTAAGACAGGGTTTCACCATGTTGGTCAGGCTGGTCTTGAACTCCCGACCTCAGGTGATCCGCCCACCTTGGCCTCCCAAGTGCTTGGATTACAGGAGTGAGCCACTATGCCCGGCCTAACTCTTTTTAATCTATTATTTAATCCTCACAGTAGCATTTTGAAATGGATACTGTTCACTTGAGGAAACCAAAGCTGAGGGATTAAGTGCTTTGTTGAAAACCACCAGCAGGCTAGGTGTGGTGGCTCATGCCTTTAATCTCAGCACGTTTGGAGGCCAAGGCGGGTGGATCACCTGAGGTTAGGCGTCCGAGACCAGCCTGGCCAAAATGGTGAAACCCCCTCTCTACTAAATATACAAAAAAATTAGCTAGGCATGGTAGCAGATGCCTGTAATCCCAGCTTCTCAGGAGGCTGAGGCAGGAGAATCACTTGAACCCGGGAGGCGGAGGTTGCAGTGAGCTGAGATTGCGCCACTGCACTCCAGCCTGGGCAACAAGAGCGAAACTCTGTTAAAAAAAAAAAAGCATCAGCAAGTCAGCAAGTTTGTGGCGGGGGTAGAACCTGAATCCAGGTCTTCTGACTGATGTTTATCCCAGTACAACTTACCTAACTACAGTTCTTTCTTTATTGTTACCATTCCCAGTTTGGATTGCCATTGGTTTTTTATTACATATTTAGTTCCTTTTCCCACCTAAATTCACTCTATTCACTGCATTCCTTTTATAACATTTGATTCTGTTCCAGAGAGAAGTGGAGATCCTGATGTTCCTCAGTGCCATTGTGATGATGAAGAACCGCAGATCCAGTAAGTTAAGCCCAATTCTCAGTCTCAAGGTTAGACCTAATGCCCTCCGGAGGTGCTTTCCTTCATGTTAAGAGAGTGGCAATCATTTGGTAAATGTGTCCTACATTTAATTCCAAGGCTGAATTTGAACTTTATCTCCTCCCTGTTTCCCATTTCAAAGTGCCCCAAGAAGAGGGACAAAAAATGGGATATAGGAGTGCACAGCCCAGCCTGACCTGTGGCATCTCTGTGTTTCAGTCACCGTGGAGCAACATATAGGCAACATTTTCATGTTTAGTAAAGTGGCCAACGCAATTCTTTTCTTCCGCTTGGATATTCGCATGGGCCTGCTTTACATCACACTTTGCATAGGTGAGGAGACTGCCTTTCTTTGGGTTTTTTGTAAGACTGTGTTGCTAGACTTGATTGTGGAAACCACAGTCCCAACAGTTGCAATCCCAAACATGTTTCTCCATACCCTCCTTCCATATCTTGTATCTAATTAATTATATATGTAGCTCAGATGATAGCAGTTTATAGACTGTATTTTTAGACGCAGAGGATGTGTTGGTGGTCTACATACGTCCACAAGTGTGTATTTGGGGGCTGAATTCCTTGAGTTGGTTTGGAAGTAAATTCCCTGTGTAAGGCCTTTTATGTTTCCTCTGACATCTTCTTTCTGTGTTTAGTGTTCCTGATGACATGCAAACCCCCTCTATATATGGGCCCTGAGAATATCAAGTACTTCAATGATAAAACCATTGATGTGAGTGCTCTTCCTCCTTTCTGTTTCTTGGGTCCCTTGTGGGTGATTTTGTAGTTGTGCTCCTCTCTACTCGGTAGGCGGAACAACAGTGCTTCAAAGTGGATGTCGGCCATGTGGTTCATTATGAGAGCCAGAGGAGAGGGAATGGCAGGATGAGGAATCAGATGCTAAGCTCTGAACCTTCCCAGGAGGCTATGTGATCCAGCTCACTTTTCTTCCCTGTATTTGGCAGGAGGAACTAGAACGGGACAAGAGGGTCACTTGGATTGTGGAGTTCTTTGCCAATTGGTCTAATGACTGCCAATCATTTGCTCCTATCTACGCTGACCTCTCCCTCAAGTGAGTAGTGCAAAGGGAGGGATGATGGAAATTGAGATGCTGTGTCTTCCCTCTCACTGTTTTTGGCTTTAATTTTTTTCTTTTTTTCCATTTGGCCTTGATTTTTACACATGGCAACCAACAGCATCTCCTCCTTACCTCCCAAATACCTATACTTCTATTTTCCTTGATCCGTTCTTTTTTTTTTTTTTTTCAATATATTAAATAATATCTTCTTCTCAGGTACAACTGTACAGGGCTAAACTTTGGGAAGGTGGATGTTGGACGCTATGCTGATGTTAGTACACGGTATGAAAAGACCTGGGCAGAGGGTCTGGGCGGGGAATCACTTTGAATGATATATACAGGGGCATTTAAAGAACTTTCTGGGCCCTGCAGGTACAAAGTGAGCACATCACCCCTCACCAAACAACTCCCTACGCTGATCCTGTTCCAAGGTGGCAAGGAGGTAATGCGGCGCCCACAGATTGACAAGAAAGGACGAGCTGTCTCATGGACCTTCTCAGAGGTACCTGAAAAGAAGGGCAGGTGCATGAAGGGTACAGAGTAGTAGATAGGCTTTCGAGCCCTACTCGGGTTTGATTCACAGCTCTGCCACTTACCCATTAGCTTTGAGGGTGTGGACTAGTTACTAGACCTCACGTATTAATTCACTTAGCAAATATATATTATGTGCCAGACCTGATAGTACTGAGGAACAATTCTTAGGTAAGATTCGGTCTCGAAGGCCCCTGCACATATTATCTGTAGGTGTTAGGTTCCCTGTCAGTTAATTGGAGATAATAACCCCTGGCTTACAGATTGTTTTGCAGATTACATTAAATAATTTAGGTATAATTCTTGTTACAGTGATTGGCATATAAGGGGTACTTAACTGTTAGTTTACTTTTCTGGATACCTGAAAAAGAGGAAGGTTAGGGCAGATTTTTGTCCTTTGCTTACTCCTTTCTTTCCCAGACTATGTGTAAAATACCTTTAACTTCCCAGCTCTTTACTCTCCCTAACCCCAGATCCTGATGTCGTGCATCTCTTCTGTGCAGGAGAATGTGATCCGAGAATTTAATTTAAATGAGCTATACCAGCGGGCCAAGAAGCTATCAAAGGCTGGAGACAATATCCCTGAGGAGCAGCCTGTGGCCCCAAGCCCCACCAGTGTGTCAGATGCGGAAAGCAAGAAGGACAAATAAGATCCTCACCTTGGCAGTGCTTCCTGTCAATTCCAGGCTCCTTCCGTAACCACAAGCCTGAGGCTACAGCCTTTTATTTATGTTTTCCGTTTGGCTGTGACTGGGTGGGGCAGGGTACTGCTTCTGATTTTTAAAGAGGCATCTAGGGAATTGTCAGGCACCCAGAAGAAAGCCTGCCATGCTGTGGGCCAACTGTATCACTGGAGGAAGAAAGAGATCTCATATGGTGGAGGAGGAAATGGTTTCCCTCCAAGCTTGGGCCAGTGTGTTAACTGCTTATCAACAATTCAGACATCTCCATGGTTTCTCCATGAAACTGGTTTCATTATTCCATCTTAGCCGACCTGCACAGCTTAATTAGACCTAGATTTAACCCTAAGGTAAGATGCTGGGGTATAGAACACTAAGAATTTTCCCTGGCTTGTTTATGGCCTTCATTAAAAGTATAAGCCTAACTTTGTCAGTAGTCCTAAGGAGAAACCTTTAACCACAAGTTTTTAATCATTGAAGACAATATTGAACAACCCCCTATTTTGTGGGGATTGAGAAAGGGTGAATAGAGGCTTGAGACGTTCCTTTGTGGGGTAGGACTTGGAGGAGAAATCCACTGGACTTTAACCACTTTGACCAACTCCCCACACCCAGTTGATGGTTTTCCATAATAAAAAGATTGGGATTTCCTTTTGATTGTGCCTTTGTGTGTTTCTGTATTAGAAAAGCCTGGCAACTTCTGAGGAAGTCCGCCCATAAAAGGCCATCCTATTTGGTTTCACCAAATGCGCATCACTGATCCCCAGGATTGGCAAGACTTGGAGATCGCTGGTTTCCATAAGCCTTGAATAGGGGCCACACGTTGTTAGGTGGGGGTTTAGTTTGGGATTGGTCCACGGATGCCAGGGAGGAGAGTTTGGCCGTGGATCATGGCACACACCATTTAGCAGAACGCAAAGGTAGAGAAAAGATTGCGTGAAGCAAGGCTTGCAGTCGGACCTACCTTGTCTCCGACCTTTCCTGCTGTGTTCACCATTCCAGCATCCCTTGTCCCCTCGACCCGAAGTGATGGGTGGTTCCGTCGGGCGCTTCCAGTACCTCCCCGTTCCCTGGGTGTAAAGTGGTTGTGCCCTAAGGTCCACCTCCAGGCCACGTGGGCGCTGCGGGCCACGCTTTCCGCTCCTAGGGGAGTTTCCGCTGTAGGAGCGGAGCTTCCGGGCTGCGCCGCAGAGCGGGGTTCTTCACTGCCTGGTTCCCGCTCAGTGGTCGCGTCTCCGCCCCCTATCCACCAGGTCCGCTGCGTTCTCAGCCGGGCCCTAGGCGCCATGGCTCCCCGCGGGAGGAAGCGGAAGGCTGAGGCCGCGATGGTCGCCACGACCGAGAAGCGAGAGAAGCTGGCGAACGGCGGGGAGGGAGTGGAGGAGGCGACCATTGTTATTGAGCATTGGTGAGGGGCCTGGAGAGTAACGGGGGAGAGGGGACGGTAGCGCCGCGGGCCAGGGGCGGTTTCTAACCTCCCAGTCTCTCCCTAGCACTAGCTGACGCGTCTATGGGCGCAACGCCGCGGCCCTGAGCCAGGCGCTGCGCCTGGAGGCCCCAGAACTTCCAGTAAAGGTGAACCCAGCCAAGCCCCGGAGGGGCAGCTTCGAGGTGACGCTGCTGCGCCCGGACGGCAGCAGTGAGTGGGGACCCGGGTGTGGGGGGAGAGGGGCGTGGGTTCCGAAGAGAGGAAGCGCTGTTCTCTGAAACCGCGGCAATCTCTTGACTTCAGAGACGTGCGCGTGGGTTCGGTAGTAGTAGGATTTCGCTTCATGCTTTCCTTTCGCAGGTGCGGAGCTCTGGACTGGGATTAAGAAGGGGCCCCCGCGCAAACTCAAATTCCCTGAGCCTCAAGAGGTGGTGGAAGAGTTGAAGAAGTACCTGTCATAGTGAGATTTGGGTAGAAGTCCTCACGCTGAGGTTTGAAATGGGAAGCGGGGGGCGGGGCGGCCGTTGTTGAGGAAGAGAAGGGATTGATCTTGGTGTGGCTACAAGTACTCACCTGGCGTGGGTAGCTCTCCCCTGCAATCCCAGCACTCTGGGAGGTCGATGTGGAAGTGGATGACCAACATAGGGAGACCCTGTCTATTTGAAAAAATATATATATATATATATATTTTTTTTTTTTGAGATGGAGTAGTCTCATTCTGTCGCCCACGCTGGAGTGCAGTGGTGTGATCTTGGCTCACCACAAAGTCTGCCTCCCGTGTTCAAGCGATTCTCCTGCCTCGGCCTCCTGAGTAGCTGAGGAGATTACAGGCGCTCATCACCACACCTGGCGAAGTTTTGTACTATAGTAGAGATGGGGTCACGTTGGTCAGGCTGGTCTCGAACTCCTGACCTCGTGATCTGTCCACCTCGGTCCCCCAAAGTGCTGGGATTACAGGCGCGAGCCACTGTGACCGGCACATACTGTTTTATAGCTAGTGTGCCCTAAGTGCAATGTTATGTCCTTTGGAAGATGTAGTTGACTGTTGCCCAGGGGGGTATGGACAAGTTTTCCATTTGGAATTTTATTCATGTTACTTCATTTATGCTTATCCCTCCACTCTGTTTCCTGCTAGGGTGTTCTGTTACTGCCCCATGTGTTAACACTGCACTACAATTCCATCACACTAGGTTACAAATATTTTGACCTTGTCTTTGTTCTAGCGCTTCATAACAGTGCTTTGGCATGTTGTTCTGCACTTGTTGAGTGAGATTGGGAGGAAGGATGCAGTCCTTGAGCTCCAGGTTTGTGAGTTCAAGGGTTAGGGAACATAAGATTCCCTGGATCCTTTCTCTAACCTTATTTCCCTTCTTGTTTCTGCAGCTTTGTGTCCCTGGTGATATTGGAACATTAATGATGGAACATGGCCAAACTTCAGTCATGTGCCTGAAGCCATGGTTTCTTCCCTGCCAGAAATGAAGGTTCAGTTGTGAGACAACCCTCTAGTAAGGCATTGCTAAAGTCACTGGATTTGGTTTAATAAAAGTTGAAATAAAGTATTTGAGTAATAGCGTAAAATTTAATCTTATGGTAAGGGATGGACAAAGCCAGCCTTGTGGCGTTGGTAGTCCTCGTGTTTTTCACAGCCCAGAATAGCCATGTGGCTGGGAACTTTAAAAAAAAAAAAATTCTTTAACAGCCAGAGTCTCACTTTGGCACCCAGGCTGGAGGGTAATGGTGCACTCTTGGCTCACTGTAACCTCTGCCTCCCACATTTAAGCCATACTCCTGCCTCAGTCTTCTGAGTAGCTGGGATTATAGGTGCACACCACCACACCTGGCTAATATTTTTTTGTATTTTTAGTAGAGGTGGAGTTTCACCATGTTGGCCAGACTGGTCTAAACTGACCTCAAGTGATACACTTGCCTTGACCTCCCAAAGTGCTGGGGTTACAGGCATGAGCCACTGCACCTGGCCTGACCTGGAACTTTTAGGGTCTCTAGTAAAACATGAGAAATACTTGTAAAAATTATGGAAGCAATTTATTTTTTTAAAAAGCAACTATATTTTTTTCAACTTACTTTTTGGAAGTAATGATGAAGTACATCTTCTTGGCCCCTGCAGAGGTTTTAGCTAGACTTCTCAATACTGGCAGTGAATAAACCCCATGTTAGGTGCTGGACAGTATCCATCACTTCCACCCACTTAGTATTCCACCCAACACTGCTTCACACCTTCCTCTGGAACATTTTCTTACACAGTACCCCACCACAGAGGGTGTTCTTTCTCAGCTTTTCCTAAATTGACTAGATGCCTTATGACCTGAGAGACCTGGCCTTGGCTCTTACCTATGACCTACTGGAATTGGGGAGCATGCAGTTTCAGTTGTCACTAACTGGAAAACAGATTACAAAGAAGAAGGTTCAAATTCATAGTTTTCTATCTACTGTACCCTTGGCTTCTCCCTGGCTCACCAGGCTTAGGGAGGGGAGGAAGAGACCTACAAAGAGCCAGGGGTACATCTGCCTCTTATGCCAAGAGGACAAGGTATGTGCCAGCTTCTCTGCCAGTAAGTGTTTTGCTAGCTAACCCTTCCCACCCTCCCAGTGCCCCTAACCTGCCCCCTCCCCCCTCCACTATGTTAGTATATCTACCTCTGTTTCTGACTCTGAGGAAGGGTCAGGCCATACAGAGGGAACACTAGTGGGTACCAGCTTCCCCTCTGCTGTCCAGTCCACCACATCAATCTCTTCCTCTTCAGAGCTGGCAGGAAGTGAGCCTAGTAGTTTATAGTGACTGGATACCTCTTTGCCTGCCTTGGGAGAAGGGTACAATAACTCATCTGTAGTCAGGGAGACTTCCAGTCCAGTCTCCACCCAGTTTGAGCAGGGAGGTGAGAGGTCCCCATTAGACCTCTGGGGAGGGTCAAGGGAGCTGACATGGTTAAGTTTGTCTTCCTGACCATCCAGTGGTGGGGAGCTAGTAATTTCAAGGTCTGGTGTCCAAGGGCTTCCTACCGAAAGCACCTCTCCACTCACCTCAGAGGGCATGACAAGGGAGCTAAGGAGCTCTGTTGGCTCTTTGTTCTCACCAGTAGGTTCCTTTTCCAATTCTGTGAGCTCCCTGGACCAGAGATCCATGTCTGGTAAACACCATTCTTCCCCTTCAATCCAGTTCTTTCCTGTTTCTGTCAGATGGTAGGTAGGGGTTCTGCAGCCCTCAGCCCTGGGACTCTCCAGAGACCCTCCAGGTGGTTCAATGTTTGAGCCACAGAGCATGAAGTCCAGGATGTCCTCCAGCTCACTGGTGGCAGCAGCACTTGTGATTCGGTACTCCTCAGCCTCACAGGGCTGCTCCAGCAGGCCTGTGTCAAATGCATAGGGCTCTCTGCAGTCAATAGCCAACATAGGGTCCTTCTTTACCAGTTCTGGACTGGACCCAAACTCTGACTTCACCACTGGATGGTCTGGGGACTCACTAGCAGAGACCAGAATGTCTTGTATCTTAGAGCATACGGGGGAGTCCTGACACAGTTCTGTTCTAGTAGATGACATTTCCTGCTCATTACCAGAGGATTGCTGAGTTCCTGAAGGCTCTTTGAAGACTCCTCCGGGATCTGGGATCTGGGGACTATCTTGAGAGTTTTTGAGGGGAGGCTCTTGCACCACTTCCCAGCAAGTCCCATTGACAATCTTCCTAAGTTTAACTCTCCCAACCTGCCCTTCCTCTGCAGACTCTGAATTAGGTGCCCTGACATCAGGGCTACGCTTCTTGCTCCCACCTGTCTTTCCAAGACTGGATGGGCTTGGGATGCTCTTTAGAGGACTAGCTCTCCCTGCTTTTGGCTTGTTCTCTGGTGCTTCTTTACTTACACTCCTCTGCCGCCAAAGACGCCGGCCAGGGGTTGCAGGCACTGCGCTAGATCCACTTAAAATGCTGGAAGGCTTTGATGTACAGATATCAGGCAATGGCTTTGAGCGACTTAGCCTGATCTTTCTGGGCAACAGGTGTCTGTCCACAGAGGGGTACAAGCTGGGTGGGGAGAGCACTGTAGGATTAAGGGCAGTGTCATTTTTGCTCTCTCTAGGCCCTTGACTGTGGCTTGATGGCGAAGAGCTTGCTTCTTGCGGAGCTGGGCAGGCTTTGGCCTTCCTCTTGAAAATAGTGCCAGACAAATTGTCTGAATTCTGTCGGTTGTTCTCCTGGGGCTCCTCTTCTTTCCCCAAAGACTTCAATCTTACTGCCCCAAGAGGACAAAGAGTCTGAGTAGCAGGCAGTGCCGTCTGAGAATGGTGGCTGGGTGTCACCACTCTAGCTGAGATTGGTGCAACACTTGTTGGTTGTAAGCACTCTCGGTTGAGTCTTCGGCCCTGTGGGGCCTTAACTAACTTTCCACCCTCTAGCTGAAGGGATTCCAGCTCAGACACACGGAGCTGACGGGCAGCAGATAGCACATCCTGGGCTTCTTCTTGAGATACTTCCATTTTTGAGGTATACAGGAAGTCCACCAGCTTCCTAAGTGTCCTGATCTTCAGGCCACCCAGCTCCAGCACCACCTTCTGATTCTGAGTGGGCCTCTCCCGCTTCAGGCGCTCTGTGAAGAAGGGGCTACAAGCCGACAGGATGCAGCAGTGAGCTGGAACTGCCTCACCTGAAGGGAAACCCAAATACTTTTGTTATCTAATGTAGACTGGCATGTTCATGGGCTAAGCATAGACATTACTAAAATGTACTGTCCCTTCTCTTATTTTCCTTCCATGGGACTTCAAGCAAAATAAAAAATTTTTTCTTCTGCCTGTCTGGAACCTTCTGCCATTACCTTTTGCCTAGCTAACTTGTTTCCTTTGGAAAGCCTTCCCCTGGGGCTGAGTGCAGTGCCATGTGCTTGTAATCCCAGCTACTAGGGAGGCTGAGGCAGGAGGATTGCTTGAGTCCAGTACTTTATGTGAGACTAGCCTGGGTAACACAGTGAGACCCCGTCTCAAAAAAAAAAAGGCCTTCCTCCACCCCACCACAAGTCTGAGTTAGGCACTCCTGGGCAGAGGTACTCTGTAGCTATCATGGCTCTTACCTATCTGTATTGGAATTATCCCTCTCCTTCACTAGGCTGTAACTGTGAGGACAGCGGCCATGTCTGTCTTTCTCACTGAGATATATTCAGTGCCTGACACAGTATCATAAGCGCTTTGGAGGTAGACAATCAGGGTTCAATTCTCTGCTGAGCTGGTAGGCAGTGGTCTGGGTTCTGAGCTAGAACTTCTACCAGGGTTAAGAGCCAGTGCCCATTAAATACCTCATTTTATGGGCACTTCCCAGGCGATCTCAATTCATTTCTCCCATGCCTTTAATTACACAAGGCTTGCTGATGATTCCCAGATCCATACCTCTGCCTAGATCTCTTTCTTGAGGGAGTAAATATACCACAGCTGGCATGTCTACATATATGCCTCCCAAGCACCTTCAATGGAACTTTTCCAGAAAATGAACTTATCATTTCCCCACCCCAAAAAACCTCTCCCATTTTCTACTTCAAAGTAAGGCATCATATTCACCCAGTTTTCACCATAAGTCATTTTTAATTTTCCATCCCTTAACCATCACATCTAATTAAATATCAGGGTTTTTTTTTTTTTTGAAAGGGTATCACTGTCAGTCAGGCTGGAGCATAGTGACAAAATCACAGCTCACTACAATCTCAGCCTCCTAGGTGATTATCCTACCTCAGCCTCCTGAGTAGCTGCAACTACAGGCATATACCACCACAGGTGGCTGTTTATATTTTCAGTAGAGACAGGGTTTTGCCATATCGCCCAGGCTGGTCTCAAACTCCTAAGCTAAAAACAATCTACCTGCCTTGGCCCTCCGCCAAAGTGCTGGGATTGCAACTGCACCTGGGTATTTTTATTTTTTAGAGACAAGGTCTCACTACATTGCCTAGGCTGGTCTTCAACTTGCCTTAAGTGATCCCCCTGCCTTGGTTTCCCAAAGTGCTGAGATTATATGCATGAGCAACTGTGCCCAGCTTCCAATTAAATATCAGGTATTTTTTTAAAGCTAATATTTGTTGAGTCCTTATTATGTGTCATCAGGCATCGTTCTAATTGTTTTACCAATATTTATTTAATCTTCACTGTAACCCTGTAAAGTAGCTACTGTTGTTATAATTGAGTCAACTGCAGCACAGTTAAGAAACATGCCTACAATTTCAAAGCAGCAGGGACAAAATTTGAATTCAAGGCCGGGTGCAATGGCTCATACCCGTAATCCTAGCACTTTGGGAGGCTGAGGCAGGAGGATCACTTGAGCGCAGGAGTTCAAGACTAACATGGGAAACGTACTGAGACCTTGTCTCTTAAAAAGAAAAAACAAAAGAATTTGAGCCAGAGAGTCTGGCTACAGAGTCTATGCCCTTAACCACTTCACCAACTTTTGTAAATTCTCTTTGATAGCTCATATTTTTCTCTTCTCAGTGCCTCAGTTCAGGCCACCATCCCCTCTCCTGGATTATGAAATACTTGCCTACCTAGGTGCAGGAAACAATAATGGCTGAATGTTGTTTCTAAAGGAGGTATCAGATCATAACCTCCTGCAGAAAACTGTTCAATACGTTTCCCAGTGTCCTGAAAAAAATACCTACTTCCTTTGCATGACACATCAGACCTAACGTGTTTGCTAATTTCTCTATTCCTCTCTGTTCAACACACCTCTTATAGTCTGTGCTCTAGTAATAATGAACAAACCGGTGGTCACATCTCTGAACCTGTGTACATGCTGCTCTCTGCCAGGAAAAATATTTCCCTGCTTCCTCCCACTTGTTTGTCCTTCAGATCTCACCTAAGGGTTATTCCAAGAAAACTTCCCTAACCCTTGTCCTCCAGTCTTCTCAAGTCTGTGAAGGATGTTCCTCTTTTTGACTCCTAAGTCTGCCTATACTTACCCAATTATATATTTTTTATTTATTTTTTGACTCCCGCGCAATTATATTTTAAATATATCACACAGTTACTTGAATGCAATGGATATTTGAATGTGTGTCTCCCCCTTATAAGATTTCCTTAAGAAGAGGAACTTTCATATGACCACCCTAGCACAGTGTTTAGCATACAACAGGCATTTGATACTTTTTAAAATTTATTTGGAATTAAATAGTCAATCTCAGCTCTGCACTTAATAAGAGAAGCAACAGGCAAGTCACTTAACTAGTCCTCAACTCACTTATCTGTAGAACTGGAACCATATAGCTATGACTTTTCTTTTCTTTTTTGCCCACCTGCAACTATCTTGATTGAGTTAATAGCTATGACTTTTCTTACAAGGCTGTTAGAATCAAATGAGACACTATATTGTATGTATTCCACAAGCTGTAGAGTGCTATACAATACTGGTGATCACAATCCTTTTTTATAAATGAAGAAATTGAGCCCCAGAGAGAGGAAGTTACCTGCCCATTTGACAGTTACTAACTGTCTCTGAGTCTTGGGCCTTGTACATTATATATCAGGATCTACTTAGTAAACTGTGACTCCTAATCTAGGGCCTTGAACATTATATATTAGGGTCTACTTCATGCTGAATTAACATTTCCAGTGTGAAGTAAAGGGGTGGAAATAAGCTATACATTTTTGGTTCCAGGATCAAACAATAAAAATCATCAGTCTGAAGATTTAAAAAATTAATACCTTGACAAGAAAATGGGAAAATGAGGCCAGATGTGGTAGCTCACGCTTGTAATCCCAGCACTTTGGGAAGCTGAAATGGGTGGATCACTTGAGGCCAGGAGTTTGAGACCAGCCTGACCATCATGGTAAAACCTCATCTCTACTAAAAATACAAAAATTAGCTGGGCATAGTGGTGCACGCCTGTAATCTAGCTACTCAGAAGGCTGAGGCATGAGAATCACTTGAACCTGGGAGACAGAGGTTGCAGGAAACTGTGATTGTGTCCCGCACTCCTGCCTGGGCAAGACAGTAAGACTCTCAGAAAAAAAAGGAAAAAAGAAAACAGAATAGTATCATCTAACACATATTGTGGTAAGTGTATTAAAACTTACCACAATATGTAAGTTATGTATTAAAAGTAGTGTTCTAAGTACTTAACATGTTAATCTTCACAACCATCCCATTAGAATATGCTCCATGTTATATAGATCTTATCTGCTTATAAAACTTTACAATTAGATTCATTATTTAAGAGAAGTACAGTCACAATTTCACGCTTGAAAACCGTAGTAATTGTCCTAGAAACAAACAGCCCTTTACCAAATAGTTTACAGTGGTCAAAGGCAGTAACGTTTTGCTGATTCTGTCCTTTACCCTCTGGCCCTGAACTCATTTTATCTTAGTCTATGGTGAGTTTTCAGATGAATTCCCACCAGTCTCTTACCTTCTGCCTGCAGAAGGACATCACAGAACACACCACTCTGCTGCTGGTTATGAAGCTGCAGAAAAGCTAACCTGAGGAACCGAGGGTTCCTGTATAGGATTTTGGGACTGGCAGGAGAGTACATGTTGGCAGACTCTTAACCTTCTAGGTTTTCACAAGTCAGACTCCTGTAGGTGAGATAAGACATTTCAGAGGCACGGTTATATGTAATTTGTTTTTTGTCTTTTAAATGGCAGGGGAAATTTGAAAGTAAGAGAAAATGGTATCTATTATAATATAGTTGAGGAAACCAGCCCAGAAATTGTGCCAAGGATATCTCAAGAAAGAACATTATCAGAGTGGTTACATGTGGGAGCTCAGAGATAAACCTAGGCTTGGGTCTTGGCTCTATTTATTAGCCTGGCTGTATAATCTCACACAGGTGACCTAATTTCTCTTGAGTCTCACTTTCCTATCCATGAAATGGGAATAATAGTACTTACCTTGTAGGGTTGTTAAACAATAAATGAGTCAATGAAGGTAAAATTGCTTAGCACAGTAAGTGCCTGGCACAAAATAACTACCGTGTCCTAAATGGTACAGCTATTATTATCCTTCAGGCTTCCTCATTTCCATTACCACTGAGACTCAACTGCTACAATGCTGACTACTCGTATTCTTCCTGAGCACCACATCCCAGCTCCATGGGTATCATCTTCAATTTAACACTTTTAAGGAAACAATAGTGGGTATAAAATCATGTCTAATAAGTTGTATGCACCTTCTTCTTTTCTCTGAGCTCACTCTATCACACCAGCAGAGGGTGCACAATAAAGAAGGGAAGCCTCTGACTCTGCCAGAAGGTCTCTCACAGAACCACGGCTGGGTGTACTTGACCAAAGCGAGCCTGACTGACCCTCGCAGTAGGCAAAGAATTTGGCCTTTAGGTTTGTATAGTTAATTACCAGGCTACCAATGGAGCAAGGAGAGTTAAGCATTTTCCCCCTTCCAAAACAAACTGAGTATTCTGACTTAAGGCTTATGTCCAGCTTTTTTTTTGAGACGGAGTTTCGCTCCTTACCCAGGCTGGAGTGCAATGGTGCAATCTCAGCTCACCGCAACCTCCACCTCCTGGGTTCAGGCAATTCTCCTGCCTCAGCCTCCTGAGTAGCTGGGATTACAGGCACGCGCCACCATGCCCAGCTAATTTTTTGTATTCTTAGTAGAAACGGTTTCACCATGTTGACCAGGATGGTCTCGATCTCTTGACGTCATGATCCACCCGCCTCGGCCTCCCAAAGTGCTGAGATTACAGGCTTGAGCCACCGCGCCCGGCCCATGTCCAGCTTTTTAGCACCGAAACCCCCACACTCACTGCACAGCTGTGTTCCTTTCCTGGAATGCCGTTTTCTATCAGGTGGCACTGAGGGTCCGAACAATTCACGTCAAAACTATCAGGAAAGAAGAGTGAAAAGGTAAATTAAGACAAGACAGCCTCCGGCTTGGCGCGGTGGCTCATGCCTGTAATCCCAGCACTTTGAGAGGCCGAGGCGGACGGATAACCTGAGGTTAGGAGTTTGAGACCAGCCTGGCCAACGTGGTGAAACCCCATCTCTACAAAAACGCAAAAATCAGCCCGACATGGTGGCACGCGCCTGTAATCGCAGCTATTCAGGCGGCTGAGGCAGGAGAATCGCTTGAACCTGGAAGGCGGAGGTTGCAGTGAGCCGAGATAGAACCATTGCACTCCAGCCTGAGACTCTCACTCTCACACACACTCCCTCTCGCTCGCTCTTTCACACACACACACACACTGTATACAGGCTCAATTCCAGAAGACAGATGTGGATGAAAAAGAGAAGGCAGGCTCAATCAATCCCCATCCCAGTAAGAGAGATGGGGATGGAGGATGGCAGCTCTTGCAAGGGCCCTGGGGAAGCTTCCCATCCACGAGCGCCCGGCCTTGCCCCGAGACCCAACCTGGAATAGCTTTGCAGTCCTTTGCTCCTGTTGTCCGCCCTGTGCTTGTACTCTGTCCAGTCTGCTTTGCTTCCTCAGTGTCCAAGCTTGAGTCCAAAGGCTGAGCAAAGAAGCACAGGTGGGCCAGTAGCTGAGTGCTTCACCTCCCTGTCCAGAAGCAAGGGAATCGGTGTTGGCGGAGAAAACAGGACTTCAGGCAGAGCCCTGCACAGCGGGGTGCCCCGCACGCTTGGACGCCCTGGCCCAACTCCTTTGAAGAAAGACTTCTAGGCGCGAGGGATTCTGGGAATGCAGTGTGGGGATCCCGGAGGCCCAAATTCAGGACTTCCCGTTACGGCCACCTCCGACAGCACCGGCTTTGCAGGCGGCCCTTGGCGCTCTTGTATCTCTGCGGGCTCCGCACCCACATGCACCGAGTGGTGGTGATAGCGAGGGTTGTGGGGCCAAGCGGCCAGCGGCACACACCTCGTGCCACCACCCTCGCTCCCGGCGCGTCGCTGAGCCCGACGCCCCTCCTCCTCCCGAGCCCTCGGGCCTACGTCCCCCGGAATACGTCATCCCCATTGGCCGAAGGCTTCGGGGAGAACCAATCAGAGCAGAAGGAGCGCTTTGGGCGGGAGTCTAACTCTCGAGGGACTTGAGGGCTGAGGGAAGATGGCTGGGCTGCAAGAGGCGGGGGGAAAGGCCCGCCGGGGAGGAATTCTTGTGGAAGCCGTCGTCTCCCTCAGCACTCGATGAAGACACACCGAAAAAGAGGGTAGGGATGCTGTAGCAAAGCAGGCACCAATGCGGTTACAGGGCATGTCTGTCTTCCCCTTGAAGAGGCAGCAGATGGCCTTGGCCCTGCTGGGAACCCTCCAGGCTTCGTGGAGGAAGTCTCTGGATGGCTTTGCTAACACCGGATCTCCCACTTCGCTAACCTAGCTATCTCCTATAACTGGAGATGTTCTGGAATAAGGTCCTTGGGCAGTATCTGAATTCAGTTTCTTCACCCCCAAATCTTGGAGAACTAGTGACCCAGGGGTTTTGCAGAAATTCCCCCCGGAATGATCTGCATTATCCTTACAGAGACGATTTTTTAAAAAATAATCTCCATTATCATTACAGAGACGATTAAAAAAATGCATTAGGCTGGCGTGGTGGCTGACGCCTGTAATCCCAACATTTTGAGAGGCAGAGGCGGGTGGATCGCCAGGTCAGGAGTTAAAGACCAGCCTGGCCAACATAGTGAAACCCCATCTCTACTAAAAATACAAAAAATTAGCCAGGCCTGGTGGCTTGCGCCTGTAAGCCAAGCTACTTGGGAGGCTGAGGCAGGAGAATCGTTTGAACCTGGGAGGCGGAGGTTGCAGTGAGCTGAGATCGCACCACTGCACTCCAGCCTGGGCAACAGAGCGAGACTCAGTCTCAGGAAAAAACAACAACAACAGTTAATTAATATTGCCCAGGCTGTGGTGCGATCTCAGCTCACTGCAGCCTCGACCTCTGGAGCTCCAGCAATCCTTCCATCTCAGCCTTCTGAATAGCTGGGACTACAAGTGAGTGCCACCACGTCTGGCTGATTTTCTTTCTTTCTTTATTCTTTCCTTTTAATTTTTTGATGGAGTTTGGCTCTTGTCACCCAGGCTGGAGTGTAGTGGTACCATCTCTGCTCGCTGCAACTTCCACCTCCGTGTTCGAGTGATCCTCCTGCTTCAGCCTCTCAAGTAACTGGTATTACAGGCGCCTGCCACCATACCCAGCTAATTTTTGTATTTTTAGTAGAGATGGGGTTTCACCATGTTGGCCAGGCTGGTCACAAACTCCTGACCTCAGGTGATCAACCCACCTTGGCCTCCCAAAGTGCTGGGATTAGAGGCGTGAGCCACCGTGCTCAGACTGATATTCTTTTTATTCTTCTTTTTTCCTCCCCTCCCTCCTTCCCTTCTCCTTCCTTCCTTCCTTCTTCCCTTCCTCACCCCCTCCTTTCTCTTATTCTCTTTTTTCTTTCCTTCCTTCCCTCCTTCCTTCCTTCCTCTTTTTCTTCTTTCTCTCTGCCTCTTTTCTTTCCTTTTTTCTTCTTTCCTTTTTCTTTCTCTCCTTTCTCTCTCTCTTTTTCTTTCTCTCCCCTTCTTTCTCTTTCTCTCTTTCTTTCTCATTCTCTCTTTCTGTTTCTTCTTTTCTTTTTTAAAATAGAGATAGGGTATCCCTATGTTGCCCAGGCTGGCCTCAAACTCCTGGGCTCAATTGATCCTCCCACCTCATTCTCCCAAAGTACTGGGATTACAGGCATGAGCTACTGAGCCTGGCCCAATTTATTTAGCCCAGTTTCTGACTGGAGTTAGCTGTTTTCAGGGATATTAAAAATTAAATTAGCTCAAGTTTGTTTTTTTTTTTTTTTTTTTTGAGACAGAGCCTTGCTCTGTTGCCCAGGCTGGTGTGCAGTGGCATGACCTTGACTCACTGTAACCTCTGGCTCCTGGGTTTAAGCAATTCTCAAGCCTCAGCCTCCCAAGAAGCTGGGATTACAGGCACTTGCCACCACGCCTGGCTAATTTTTGTATATATTTTTTAATTTTTATATTTTTAGTAGAGACACGGTTTCACCATGTTGGTCAGGCTGGTCTCAAACTCCTGACCTCAGGTGATCTGCCTGCCTCAGCTTCCCAAAGTGCTGGGATTACAGATGTGAGCCACTATGCCTGGCCTAATTATCTCAAGATTAAATGTTTACAGAGAATGCCAACCCATGGTATAATTATGGACAGCAGTTTTTTCTTTCCCCTGTGTGTGTTAGGACCTGGGCCCTGGCTTCAGTTATTGCCCTCATTAGATGCTCTGTGATGTCCAGTTCTGGACAAGAATAGCTGAATCTAAAGCCACTGGTGACAAAGTACAGTGAATTGAAATGGACCAGCTCCTGCCGAGGCCAACTGGAGGTAGAAAGGAAGAAAGATGCTAAGAGAAGGGCAATGTGCAAAGGGACAAAACGTTGAGGTCACACCAAATGTCCTTATTGATATCTAACACCCTTTCAAAAAGGATTTGAGGTTGTTGACTGAAATTGTGGTGTGGGGAATGCATTTCCAAGTCAGGTACTATTTCCCCTAGACTGAGGCTGCTGGTGTTGAGGTGGAGAAAGAAACAAGGAACAGAAAACATTTTTGGTTGATGTTGTCTGACTTTGAAGAAGAAGCAGTTTGTGAAAGGACATAAAAATTAGCAGAAGGAGGAAAGATTTTAGATGTTGGCAGCAGCAGCAACAATAGCACAACAAACACACACAAGTAAACAAGCAAAGAAAACAAAAGAGAAGGCAGAACAACCCTTGTTTATGGCATCTGTTACCATAGAATCAGGACTTGATTGGGCAGGTAGAGTAGCAGTATAGATGATTCTGTGGAGATGTAAGGTAATTATAAATGTATATATTCTCATTAATATATTGCCATCAGGATTAAATTAATTTTCAAGAAGTGGAGAGGACTTCTTATTTTTTCAATCTAACATCATTTTAGTTAAATCTTGTGTTGGTAGAATTTTTTAAGATTGGACAGGTCATGGTGGCTCATGCCTATAATCCCAGCCCTTAGGGAGGCTCAGGCAGGCAGATCACTTGAGCCCAGGAGCTCTAGACCAGCCTGGCCAACATGGCAAAACCCCGTCTCTACTAACAATAAAAAAATTAGCCAGGCATGGTGGTGAATGCCTATAATCTCAGCTACCTGGGAGAATGAGGCAGGAGAATTGCGTGAGCTCAGTAGGCAGAGGTTGCAGTGAGCTGACATCATAACACTACACTCCAGTCTGAGTGACAGAGCAAGACTCTGTCTCAAAAAAAAAAAAGAAAAAAAAAGAACTTCTAAAGGGATTGGTAAATGGCTATCATATACAGGGCTTCAAAAATGACAAACTTCGGATTGTAATATGTAACCACCAGAGGGTAGAAAGGAGTAAAAATATTTTGTTTTTCTTTTTATGGATAAGCAGTGGGTTTTTTTTCTTTTTCTTTTTATGTAACATTTGGATAGCAAGCAGAAGGGTTTTTGAAGTTGAATTTTTAAAATTTCTTCTCCTTGGCATTTATAGTTTTAGTCTATTTTATTTTACTTTATTATTTATTTATTTGTTTGTTTATTTATTTATTTTTGAGACAGAGTCTCATTCTGCCGCCCAGGCTGGAGTGCAGGCTTGATCTTGGCTTACTGCAACCTCCGCCTCCTGGGTTCAAGGAATTCTCCTATCTTATCTTCCCGAGTAGCTGGGACTACAGGT